TATTAGTGCAACTCATTAGCTCTTAAAGGCTAAAAAAAATAAAGTAAATCAAGGTAAAGTTTTTAGGTTTGAGCTCACAGAACTTAGGGATTCAGGAAAACTGTCTCCTTGAAACTAGGACAAGCACACAAGCTTCTGAGAGCAGCTTTGGAAGGGAAAACCCACTGTAGGAACACTAGCTTAAAGACGGGGAGAGGAAGTTTCCAGACTCGGGCACAATGAACCCAACTGTATTGTAGATGTGTCTATATCCTAGCAAAGTGTAGGCCTGGCCCTATTTTCTGGGAAAAAAAAAAGTCCATTGACTTCCTAAATCATGACCAAGTGCTGAGATAACTGTCGAAGGCAGCTTCTTCCCAGCAAAGTGAAACATGGAAACCAAATGCTAGGCACCCTTTATGGTACCTGGCTGTTCTATGATCTTCACACTACCTTTTAGTGTGAAGGTTCACTTTCGAAAACTTCTCTTTTTCTCTTTATTTTCAACAAAATATAATTTTTAAGAAGTAATTCTCAGAATGTTAAAGCAAAATGTGATGGGTAGCCCAATAATCAGATCCAGTCCTGTCCTGTATTGGTTTTTGTCAACTTGACACAAGCTAGAGTTACCTAGGAAGGAGTACCTCAGTTGAGGAAATGCCTCTGTCAGATTGTCTGCAGGCAATTTTCTTGGTCAGTCCTTGTGGGAGGGCCCAGACCACTGTGGGTGGGGCTGTCCCTGGGCAGTTGCTCCTAAGCAGGATAAGAAGGCAGGCTGAGCAAGCCAGTAGGCAGCTTTCCGCCTTAGGTTTTGCTCCAGTTCCTACCTCAGGGTTCCTGCCTGAGTTCATGTCCCGACTTCCTGTGAGATAAAATAAACCCTTTCCTCCCCAAGTTGCTTTTATTGCAGCAATAGAAACCGAACTAGGATAAGTCCCTTTTGCTGTGATCCTGCGATAAGAATCCAGGAACTCTTGAGTTTTCACTTCCATTTTAATTTGGCTTACACCTGATTTACTTACTATATTCATTTTTCTAAAACAAACAAACAAACAAACGACAGGATGTTTAATCCAAGTTCATTTTAAACTAGCTATGTAGCCAGGAAGGACTGTGGTACTGAGGACCAACCCACTACCTTAAACAGGCTGTCAACTAAACTACATTCCAAGCCCATGATTGAGATACACAGTATCTACATGAAGTACTTATCTGTCACTGTTTCCAATTATATAGTTAGGTTTCCTCAAAGTGATTTTATTATTTATTTAATAAAATGTAAGATTTATTAATTAATAATTATTTTTGTTAACCATATGCAAATTCTTTTGTGGAAAATTAGGGTATATTTAAAAATCCAGAAAGTTATTTGAAAACTAAATATATCATTTATGTGGGTGTGTATGTGTGCAGATGTATGTGCAAGTGTTCATTGTATACATGTGTATGTGGAGGTCAGAGTTCATCATGAGGGGTCTTTCTTAATCCATTCCACTTTATTGTTTAGGACATGCTCTCTCACTGTACCTGGAACCCCCCTGAGTGGACCGACTGGTCAGCGAGTCCTAGGGGTTGATTGCGCTGTTTCTGCTTCCTGCAGTACTGGATTGCAGACATACACTTATCATCTTTTTAAGACTTCAAATATTTCTCCAGTCATGACTCACAGGCTTGTATAAGCAGAATATGTGAGTTCAAATAACTTTTTTTCCGGACAGCTGACCACAGTTACTGCAGTGAGGGTGTCAGATCCTTGGCCTGATGACCAGAAGCTGAATGGAGAAGGCAATGTGGTTGGAATCATGATTTATGTTTGTTCTCTATAACCTAACAACCATGCTTGCAGATGTCAATATATTCTAAGGCACTTGTGAGGCTCCCTTTGGCTATCAGATTATTAAAGAAAAAAAAAGATAATGACCAAAGAAATTGGAATACCCCACCCCCACCAAGAGTCTATATTGGGAATGGAAGGCCAAAACCTGATGCTGGGCACAGGAGACACTTGTCTGCTGGAAAAAGATTTCCCATCGTTCTGAAAGTTTGTCCTGCCTCATTCAGGGATGGGCACGAACACCCCTTGGCCCTGACTGCTTGGTTATTTTGCCTCTTCTCCTGCTTTGTGTTTGAAATTCAGTCTCATATCAGGTGGGGCCACTGGGTGTGTGAATAGAATTTCTCCACTTCCCACTTTCACTTTTCTTTGACTTGACATATTGAGGATGAGTAGTCAAGTCTGTTTTGTTAGGGCTGTCGGGCTCTGACCTTAGCAACTCCAGTAACACAAGCACAGAGATAACTAGTATTGTTCCATAAATAGTAGACCCAGTGGAACCTCTCTCCTGAAGGCAGCTTGTTAATTTGCCTGAGGTTTAGGTGACCTAAGGTTTCTGGAGAAGGCAGACTAGTCTGAAATAAAATGCCAGAATAACTCTCATGGCTACAAAAGAAAAATATCTGTTGACCTTTAAGTTTATGAAGTGACAGAGAAATTCATAAACTTATGAGTGGTAGTGGTCACATTTCTAACTTTATTTTTATGACCTCAGTTTCATGTATTCTTTTAAAAATACTGTAAAAATATATTTTTAATTGTTTGGAAGATACTAATTGACTTAAGTATAAGTACATATTTATAATTGAACTATTTGTATTTTAAATCTGTCTTCTCTTTTTATATACACATCATTACTTCCTTAAAATTACAAATATGGTAGTGTATTTAGAAAAAAATGCTAAAACTCAGGTTTTCAAAGTTCCAACCTTTACCACCTTTTTATTCTTTTAAAGATGTAAAATATCATCCTAAAGTGGTGGAGGGATTACCATTGCTTCCAAAAGGTAGGACAAAAGAAAGACTCTCCCTCCTAAGGGAGAGATCACTATGGTGTTCCAAAAGAATACATGCAGAAATGGTAAGAAATATGATGGCCACTGAGGTGGAATAATGAGACAAAGAAAATGGCATATGAAGGGAAAGGAAAGGGAAAGAAGTCTCTCACCCTGGAGTCTAGTGATGTCTCTTCTAGTTGAGAAGCAAGATTTACCCCACAAATAGCATTTTCTGTCAAGATTGTGGGCATAGAGATAGTGCTTGTTTCATGGATAGATACTTTATGTTATGACAGATTGAACCGAGTTGTTTTAGGCAGGGTTGTGGAAGGACTGTGGAATTTTATGCAGTAAAGGCCATTGAAAGTCCCAGTGCTTGCTGAGCTCTTCTGAAGAAGCTTGGAAGATAAGAATGTTGAGGGCGAAGCAGAGATGGAGGCCTAGCTTAGAGGCAAAGCAGAGATTGGAGGCCTAGCTTAGACCAAAGCAGAGATGGAGGCCTAGCTTAGACCAAAGCAGAGATGGAGGCCTAGCTTAGAGGCAAAGCAGAGATGGAGGCTGACGTTTTAGAGGGAAGTTTAAAATTTCGATCTGGACTTTCTGTTACTTTGAATTAAGAGTCAAATCTTCAGCTGGGGCTGAAGAATCAGCAGTGATTAACCGCTGTGGGATAATGCTCTTGTACACTGTAGAGATTTGTCACTCGTATTAGTTTAATAAAACACTGATTGTCTAGTAGCCAGAGCAAATAGACTAAGAGAATTCTGGGAAGAGGGAAGGCAGAGAGGAGAGCAGCCGAGGCTTGGCACTTTGAGAAGCCAGGGGAGGCCGTTGGTGAAGGGGCAGCCTCAGTTGGCAGTTGAAGGCTCAGGAGTGAAGGGGTCATACAAAGAAGTTGAGGCTTGGCACCATAAAGAGAGCCCTGGAGATGCTATTGGTGAAAATGCCACATGGCTGCAGCAGAAGAACCGGATTATGGATATTCCAGTACCATGGGACCAAGAACAACAGCAGCAGTGGACTGGAGCCAGAGCCTAGAGGACAAAATGTGTGTTACAGAGAGCACAGCCAGAAAATGACCAAACACATCGGAGGAATCCTGTTGTGGAATACTACTTTAACTATGCAAAGGTATGTTACATGTTTATGCTGCATTTGTTTAATAATGTAAAGATGTGTGGGTTTGCCTGCCTTAAACATCTGGTCGCTCTAATAAAAAACTACATGGCCAATAGCTAGGCAATAGAAAGATAGGACAGAGAGAATAAGTAGGAAGAGGAATCTAGATTGGAGAAGAGAGAGAACAAAGGAGGAAGAGAGGGAGATGCCCGGGGACAGCCAGCAAGGCAGCCACCAGACAGCAGATACACAGAATGAAAAAAGGTAGAAAAAAAAAAGTCCCAAGGCAAAAACGTAGATGAAGAGAAACAGGTTAAAACAAGTTATAAGAGCTATCAAGAAATGAACCTAAGCTAAGGCTAAGCATTCATAACTAATAGTAAGTCTCCGTGTTATGATTTGGGACATGGTTGGTGGCCCAAAAGAAAGCCTGCTACATTTGGCATACAGAGAACACTTGAGTAGAAACAACAAGCTAGGTAAAACCTCTGCCGCAGTGTGGACACCAACTTCCCAGAGCTGGGACAATTAAATACAGGTCCCACTTAAACAGGCTTAAGGACTGTTTAAGGCCTGAGGAGTGGGTGGAGCCAGCTGCCAAAGTCACAGCAGAAGACCTAAATGCTGCTTAGCAGATTATTGTTTGACTCATGTGGTCAGATAAGGCTGGAGACATGTAGTAAAGACAGGTCCAGATGGAAAAAAAAAACTCTAAATAGGTGATAGTATGTTTAAAAAATATAGGCTTAAGAGAGAAAATAAATTTGTTAAGACAGTCATAGAAAAAATAGTTTAAAATTAATAAAGTAAAATCTTTAAAGAAAGAGTAAAGTAATATAAAGGTGAAAAGGCATGTAAAGATGAGAAATGCACATGGAGTCTGGATCCTGTATGATGTTGTGTCGACTTTGAATGCCCATGAGCGAATGACAGCTGCCATCTGCCAAGAGACATGGGACTACTGAATTAAACCAGCCTAGATACTTTAGGTATGCCTTAACTTTAAAATGGAATTTTAAAAACGTATTGCATTGGGGGTATGTTTTTTTTTTTTTTTAGAACAACTCAGCAAAATAAAATTCCGGTTTATTGTTGGACATTGTTTCACACATACATCAAACAGGCCAAAAAAAAATAAACAGCAACTTCATAGACAAAAAAAAGGAAGAAAAAAAAGGAAACCTTTATCTTTGGCCTTTTTAACCATCTCATACAAACCAACTACTTGATGTGGGAGTGTCATATATCAATCTGTTGATTTCATTGGTTAATTAAAGAAACTGCTTGGCTGGCCTCATAGGTTAAAGTAAACAGAATAGAATTCTGGGCGGAAGAGGAAGTGAGGTCAGACTCTGCTCTGCTCCCGGAGAGACCCGACAACTCTGCTCTCTGGAGCAGAGACACCATGATGGACGGAGGCTAGAATCTTCCCGGTAAGCACACCTTGGGGTGCTTACATGCATTATTAGAAATGGGCTAGTCCAGGTGCGAGAATTACCCTGTAAGGGTTAGAGTTCATGGGCCAAGCAGTTCTTAAATGAATACAGTTTGTGTGCTGTTATTTCGGGCATGAGCTAGCCAAGCGGCCGGGGTGTTGGGGACGCAGCCCCACCGCTCCTATTTCAACAACTACTTATAGTACAGCTAGGTACATACACAAAAAAAGTTACTGGAATGCTCGGAATAAGATTGTTTTTTTTTGTTGTTGTTGTCATTTTTGTTTTTTTACAAGGTTTTTTTTTTCTCCTTTGAGATTATAATGAACATGGTCACACCACAAGTAAGGTCAGAAGTAGGACAGAGAACGCTCTGAAGGCTGGTCTGGTCACCCGTCATCATCAAAAATGGCTGACCCCTAACAATATGTACAAAAATATAAAATGTAAATAAAAAATACAAACAAATTTTCCTTTTAAAGTATTTTTAAGAAAAAAAGCAGGGCCTTGGAAGTTTTGGTTTTTTTTTCCTCCCCTGTTGCAAATTCATGTTGTGGTTTTGGTGGGTTGATGAAGAACGCATGTCATCTGTGGGTGGCACTGCCCGCTGTGGTGACCACGTTTAAATTCTGAGACGGGAAGTGGAGGGTGAACAGGTGACGGCGGCCTTAGTTTTAGCTTTTCCTTTGCTGTCCAGTCATCCTCGTCAGTCTTCTGCTTCTTGGTGTCAACATCATCATCCTCATCGTCTTCAGCTATCCGCTTGCCCGTAGGAGCCTCAGCTTCCTCATCTTCATCTCCATCCTCTTCCTCACCGTCACCTTCTTCCTCCTCCTCCTCTTCCTCCCCACCTTCTTCCTCTTCTTCATCTACCTCATTGTCGGCCTCCTGCTCCCCATTTTCCTCATTAGCATTGCCATTGGCAGGTGCGTCTCTTCCATTCTCTGCCTCCTCCACAACTTCCTTCTTCTCCTTCAAGTCCTTGGTGGTGATCTCGGAGCTGGTGTCCACGGCCGCGTCTGACATGGTGGGGCACGCCGGTGATCCGCTGCAGCGAGGGCGAGAGGAATCGAGTTCGAGGACTCTGGCGAGAGAGCTGCCGGAGTCCGCCGCGGAGGAGGAGGAGGCGGCGGGCGGGCGGCGAAGGCGGCTGCAGCGAGCGCCGAGCAGCACCGGGAACACTGCTTTTCAGAGCAGCCAGTGGGGGATGGGGGTATGTTTTTATTTCCACAGAAAACAAACAACTGTAGATTCCTTCAAGGTTAACAGAGATCAAATGTGATGGACGCAACCTCCTGAAAATCTTGGCTACAGGTATAAAGAAATAAACCAAGAAAAACTACAAGCAGGTGGCATTTATATTGATCCCTTTGAGGTCCGAGACTGGATAACAGAAGTCACAACTAGTTTTCCCAGGAACTGGTCATTAACTCAATTTCCTCAGGGTTTCCTAAAGACTCTATCACCCTCATACAACAGCATGCAGTCTAGAGAACACAACACCAACATTCACAAGAGGTGGAGTGGGTGGCTTTTAATCATCCATTGGGTTATGGATGTTTGTCATCATTTAGAGGGGATTCAGGAATATAGGATAAAAAGAGAACTGTTAGCCTCAAATACTTCACAGTTGGTATGGATTGGTATATTGATACAAATTTAAAGTTACTTTTGTTATACTACATATATTTCTCTACTTTTGTTTGGAGTATTGTGCTTATGCAGCTCATTTTAAAATGTAACGTACAATTAAGAAATGCAGGTTTGGGGCTGGAGAGATGCCTCAGAGGTTAAGAGCACTGGCTGTTCTTCCAGAGATCCTGAGTTCAGTTCCCCTGCAACCATGTGGTGGTTCACAACCATCTGTAATGCAATCTGGTGCCCTCTTCTGGTGTGTAAGCATACATACAGGCAGAGCACTGAATATACAATAAATAAATCTTCTTTAAAAAAAGAAATGCAGGTTAGTCATGTTAGGTATATTTTCAAGGTTAAACATATATATTTTAGATAGATTGTCTACAGATGCTTCTGAGACATGCAGAATATGGTATTTAAGGTGTTTAATAACCTGAGAATTTTTATGGCAGTGAGACATGTCAGCTTCTGGCAGCACCAATCTACTTCATAGACTGCCATCAAAGAACCTCTATATGGAGTTTGTTTTATTATGGCAAAGCTGCTCTTACCTTGACTGCGGACAGTATGCTGTATAAACTGGACATGAAGGACACAAAGGAAAGTGACTGCTAACTTTGCCAAAACAGGTGGGACAGTCCTTTGAGATTCCTGCTTTCTAGAAAAGTCTGCTGGATATTCTAGGCCTGTAGACCAAAGATGAATGCCCCAAGATTGCAGAGGAACTTTGGATGACTGTCCCAACATTGGCAGTCAGATGTCTCTGTTGTTTTTATATTTTGGAGATGGCTTTCATTATACTTCCTGTTTACTCAGGAAATAATATATTCTTCTGGGGTTTTGATGGAGTTGAAGACTAGATAGTAATAGTTGCAGTTTTCCTTAGCTATGATAGAAGGTAGATTAGGTACAAAACTTTGAACTCACTAAGATAGGATGGAGTATTTTTCTCTGAATTTGTCAAATACAAATGAACTGAATGTTGTAATATAATTCTTGTTTGAAAATTGTTCTTATTGCATATAGTATTACTATGTTAAAGTTAAAACCTTTCTTTTTATTTAGACAAAAGGGGGAAATGTTATGCAACATTACTTTAATTATGTAAAGATATATCACACTTTTTTATGTTGCATTTGTTTAATGTTGTAAACATGTGTAGCTTTGCCTGCTTTAGGCACCGGATTAGTTTAATAAAAAGAGGGATATGTGGGGCTAGTAGGCAGAGACAATAAGTAGGAGGAGAAATATAAGCTTTGGAGAGGAGAGAGAGAACAAGAGAGAAAGAGAGGCAGACATGTGGGGCCAGTCAGCCAGGTACATCAGCCATCCAAAGGTGGAGGAAAACAGGAAAACAGGGCATGCAGAATGAAATAAAAGATAAAAAGCCCCAAGATAAAACATAGATGAAGAGAAAAAGTTAATTAAACTATAAGAGCTAGTGGGACAAGATAAGATAAGGTCAAGCATTCATAACTAATAATAAGTCTTTATGTCATGAATTGGGAGCTGGCAGTCCAAGAAAGCCTGTTACAGAGTCCAGAAGATAGTGAATGGATCCCAGGCATTGGATGTTGGGCTATTTACACTTTTGGAGTTTGGTTCTTCTTTGATGTGGTTGTGACTGTTCCCTGGTTCTTCTCTCTTGAAATAAAAAAAAATATTTAACTTAAATTTTTTTTTTACAGGAGCCCACAGTCCAGAGACCTTGAATTTTAAAAGACTTTGGATTTTAATTTTTTTAATGTTATGTGCATTGATATTTTGCCATAGGTGTTGGGTCCCCTGGAACTGGAGTTACAGACAGTTGTGAGCTGCCATATGGGTGCCTAGAATTGAACCCAAGTTTTCTGGAAGAGCAGGAAAGCAATTTCCAAGAAATGCAAGGAATGACAGAAACAGCTGGCTGCCTGAACAATAACCCAAGGTTTCTCTACAATGTTGGGGCATCCAGCTTTGTCTTACTGGCCTACAATATCTGACAGATGCTTTTCAGAGCAAAAAAAATTTGAAGGACTTTTCTACCCTGTCTTGGCAAAGTTCAGCAACCACTTTTCTTTGTGTTCTGCTTGTCCAGATTGAACAGTGTACTTACTGTCAGCAGTCAAGACAAGGACAGTTCTTGCCCAACAGGCCAATTTTGCCAAAATGAAAACAAACTGCATATGTAATGTCTTCAGTGCCAAAGCGTCCTCTTGGGAGGAGATTGGGACTGCCAGGAGAAGGCATGTCCCATTTAAAAGTTATTAAAACTATTAATATTATATTAATATTATATATAATATTAAAATATTATATAGGTCTTTGAAATATTTGAAGATACATATCTTCCTGAAATATATCTTTGTATATCTAGAAAACCTAACTAACATGACCTTAAGTTTGACTATTATAGATGACTAACTGTATTTTTATAAATCTGTATTTCTTAATTATATATTTATTTTAATTGAGCTGTAGAAACACAGTACCTTAAACAAGAATAGAAATATACATGCAGCATAGCAAAATTAATCTTAAATTTAAATCAATAAATAAAAATCTATACCAATGTAAAATATTTTGAGATTAACAGTTGTTTTTTGGATTAAAGCAGTTCATAATCTACCCCATTTTCTATTATAATAATCTTCAATTTTCTTCATCATTTTTATATAATATTGTCCTTTCTTTTAGAAAGAGATTGACTATGACCAAAAGCAATTTATAACCAACCTCCTTAAATGAAAACAATGGTTTTCTTTTAAATTCATGCCCCACATTGGGCACCAAATGAAGCACAATTAATAAAAACTAAGATATTGGGGTTCAACCTGAAGACCAGAAAAGCAAAGAAGCCAGATACTGACTCTTACCTTGACCTCAGTCCAAAATGGTGATCCTGTCTCCAGGTATCTCAGAATGAGGCTATATCTGAGAGCTGTTATAATCCTTTTTTATAATCCTCTCTAGGGCTGTAGTTAAAGGCAGATACCACTAGGATTAAAGACATGCTCCACCCAGTTTCTATGGCAACTAGTGTAGCCACTAGTATTAAAGGTGTGTGTTACACTGCCTGATCTGTTTTACTCTCTGATCTTCAAGTAAGCATTATTTATTAAAATACAAATGAAATGCCACTACAGTGATTGTTGAGGGATCCTGAGATTATGATAAAGTCCTGACTGGGGCATTTTGTGCAATTGGTCCATCTCAGCCAGCAGCCTTGAAGCTGTTGTGGATGTTGGATCACCTGGGTCAGGGGATCTTTCTCAATCAAACCATATTAACCTGGAAGATATCTGCTGCTTCTCATTCTCAGTGGAAACAGAAGTAGAACCTATTTTCCAAAGCAACATATTCTTAGACCTGGATTTTAAAAGTCAAGATATCTTTAAAGTATGTAGGTTGGTTTAACTTAGCAGCCCCCACAATCAAATGTCTCTTAGAAGTTAGCTCATTACCACTCAAACAATCCAAAGAAAACACAATAATATACACAATCCAGACTCTCTGTGTATTTTACATCTTTATGAGGCTCATAATTTTTATTATTCTATTCTTTTTTCAAGGACCCCACTTTATATTCTTTAAATTACTTTTAATCTATGACTGTCTCTACCCTTTTTATTCTCTCTCCCAAAGCTATGCACATTTTTAAAAACACATTGTGACCTGTTTAGAGGTTTCTTTTTGTAGGAATCTGTCTTTACCATGTAGCTGTATTCATTTTCTGACCACAAGTGTCTTTAGACTGCTAAACAAGCATGGATAGGACCAAAGTGGTGGCTTTGGCTGCTAATTTCACTCTGTTCAGCTTCCCAACATGGCAGAGGTACCAATGAGAGTCATGCTTACTTCCCTAACTCTGGAAAGCTGTGGGATCCATGCTGCCACCAAGTAGCATGCAGCCTCCTGACCCACAAACCACAATCGAGTGCTTCATTGCAGGACTTTCCAAAAGAGCCAGTACCAAGGCAGAAATCCTTGAAACTCTGAAAAGAACTGCTCATCTGCTCAGCACCAGCAAACAGAGCCTTTTGAAAAAATTTTGACTACCACTAAGAAGCCATATCTGACTTTGTGTGTCGATAATCCTTTTTTTAAACGTTTTCAGACTTTATGTGGATGTATGTGTTCCGTGTTGGGTACAATATGTAAACAGAGTTTTCTCTGTCCTGTCACATCACACAACTACTTTTAAATAATAACTCAGAGGTTTAATATTAATTACAGAATGTTTAGCCTATGCTTCAGGCTTATTACTAACTAGCTCTTACATTTAAGTTAACCCATTTCAATTAATCTATGTATTGCCATGTGTCCATGGCTTTTACTGTTATGCCTGAATTACAGGACCCAAATCATTACCACGAGACCAAACCTGATGCAAAAAACAAAGAGTCTTTATTAAGTTAATAAATCAGGTCCGTCCTTCTGTACAAAGTAGCAGCAGCAGCAGCAGCCCAAAAATAGCGCAGGAGAGGGACCCAGAGCAACAAAAACCAGGGGTTTATATGGGGGAAGAGGCTCCAGGAATTCCAAGCCTTGG